AAAACTAAATCTTGCTGATCTATGAATAAAAACTTCTGGAAAACAAGTTTGAACATCTCAGATCTTCTCCAATTTTTTAATGAAAAAATACTAATGTTACTGAGCAACCTGGTCTAGCTGAAGATGTCCCTGCTTATTGTAGGGGGGTTGGACTAGAAGAACTTTAAAGGCCCCTTCCAACCCAAACTATTCTATGATTATATGGTAATGTTATCTAAACTCTACCTCAATAGAGCTTACAGTGTCTTTTATGTTGAATACAATGTAGCTATATACAGTTAATTGATAATAATAAAATAGCACTACATTTTTTTAAAATAAGAATGCCAGTCCCCATAGATATATTTTAAGGCTGAACATGGTCCAAGTATACAACTAAATAATTTCTAGCAAACTTTTCAAGAAAGAATTTCATTAATATTTTTAGAAACCGCAGGGTGGATTGCTGTTAAACCCCAGCCCATGTTAAAGCAATGTTTTATTTAATATAATTAGACTGAGGTGAATGGGACTTACCAGCTGTCCAGGAAGAAGTCCAGAGAAATGGCCAGAGGAGCCCTGAATCCTTTGAGTTTTATATGCTTTCTTGAACTTCCAGGAAGATGAGACAACCTTTGTGCATGAGGTCTTAATTACTTTCCAAACAATGTTTCCCGCATGTGTAACACTTATAATTACCATAATTATTTTAACATTGTTTACCAGCACTATTCATTTTTCTATGGTACATACTGTTACATGCTGTGGGGTTCCCTTCGTATTATATCTTTATGGTCTAAATTAATTGCTAATGGGATTCTACCACTTCTGTCTCCATTAACTTGAGGATGTTCAGTTTTGACTTAAACATTGACCATGTGAGCAGTGGTTTGCAGACAGCAACTGAGGTATTGCAGACATATTGGCTATATCTACTGGTAGGTGTGGGGGTTTAATTCATTCCCCTAAATCCACTGTAGCATTTAGTTGGAGGCACCATGGGGTTCATCCCTCTAAGCAGATGGAGGAGTGGAGAATAGGATTTTGCAGAATGCAAAAAAAAAAAAAAAAAGAGACCCCATTTTTGTTCACAATGAAACTGATTTGGTTATTTGCTTCCTGTTCTTTGTTTCGCTGACTGTTGTCACAGCTTCAGCTGGAGGATGCCATTCTACTTGGAGATCCTCATTCCCACTCTAGGTACTGACCAGCTGCCGAGCATCTGGCTCCAATCACCACGTGTGATCAGAAGGCGAACAAACATAACCTCGTCTTAAGGATGCTCACTTACAGAAGAGAAGACTGGAACGAGATGACGTAAGAATTTCTGCAGATAAAAGGTAGATGCCAAAGTGAAAGAATTTGGCTGCCACTTACACCTGCTGAGGACAAGAGAAGAAGTCATGGGCTAAAAGTGCATTAAGGGACACTTAAGCGTGGGGAAAAATTTTTAATCATGTGGGTACTTATGTACCTGAATTGCTGAATTTTGTGGAGCCTCACTGATTTTCCGAGGATTCAGGTAGATTCTCAGAGTTGTGAGTCACATGTTCAACTCTCACAGACCCAGCTGAAGCCACCTTTTAACCTATTTCGAAATGATTGCTTTTGAACGCAAATTGAAAATTACTGTTTAATGGAAAAGCAACACACCTTGAGTTGTCAAGGCTCGAAAACAACATCCTGTTTATGAGAACGACTAAGACACTTCCATCAAAACCTGTATATCCTAAAGTTGCTATTGGCCCTGAGGTGTTTGTCTCAGATAACATGCTATTAATATTATAACGATAAAATGCTTTGCATGCATAAATCAGAAATGAATATTTTTGAAATGTTTTGACATTCCCTGTTGTTTGGAAACCTCACCAGTCTCTAAATGTCAGGATTATTTTCCCCATCCTCTCACAAAAGACAGCAAAAAGCTCACACAAATTATCCAAAAAGCCAGGCCCCAAATTCATAGCTCACAATGGAGGTTAACCCCACTGAGCTCTGTTACTAGAGATTGCTGGCAATTTATGTTAATGGTATTTCATATTCTTTGGCAATTTCATGTAGCTTATGGATCTCTTGGTGACTTCTGAACCAGTTTCTGATCATACCCTTCTTCCTTAAAAATCGGAAAAGTGTCTGGAAAAATGGAAGTTCCTGATTCTATGCCACTTTACCTGCAGAGCACCCAAATACCCCAAACTGGAAACTCATTTACACCTCCCAATCTTCCTTGTAGGAAGAAAAGACAGCGAGGTTGCCATTTAATTTCTAGAAGTTATGATGCCTTCTGCACGAAAAGCACCTTTGGAAACGGGAATAGAAACACAACCCTAAACATCTTACACCTCTTAATACCACGGGCAATGTGGAGTTTGTCCAGCTGGGGGATCCTGCACTAGAACCAATTTCATAGAATCATGGAATGGTTTGGGTTGGAAGCGACCTCAAAGATCATCTAGTTCCAACCCCCCTGCTGCGGGCAGGGACACCCTCCACTAGACCACGTTGCCCAAAACCTCATTTGGACAGCAGTTGCATGGAAAGCTGTGCAAAGTAAGCCCAAAATAGAAGAAGACACTTTGTAGCCCACCCTGTCACTGTCCGCCTTGGAGTGGAGCCCGCCTTTGCTCTAAACATTCATTTAGTGGGTGAAGGTAGTAATAAACTGTCCCTTCAGCATTTTCTTCTCCAGGGCAAACATTCCCAGCTCTCCCATCCTCTCTCTTCTTGCACCCATCAAACTCGCTCCTGGCTGACCATGGCTCTTGCGCTGAGCACCCAAAACTGGACGTGGATGTCTGGAGGTGGCCTCCTGAATGCCAGCTGCAGGGGAATCACCACCGTTCTCCTGTCAGTGGCTATGCTCTGGCTGAGGCAGCCCAGCCTGCCGTTGGCTTTCACCGCCACAAGGATGCAGCACTGCCTCACATCACCTCTTGGGCCACCAGGTCCTTTTTTCTTTTCTTTTTTTTTTTTTTTAATTTTTTTTTTGCAGTGCTCATGACCTTTCCAGGAGCAGATTCCAACTACTAATCCATTTGATGAGGGAGAGCAGCGTCTGCTGCCAGGAGGAGAGAGGGAACAAGAGAGCATAAAAACCATCCGCATGCAGAGCGCCAGTAAAAGTTCAGGCACCATTTAGTGGCTGCTTTGACATACCAGGTTTTTATGTTATCATGTCAGCACAACTCCTTTATCAGCAGCAAAAGCAAAACAGAATCTCTTTTTTTTTTTTTTTAAAAGGAACTCCTTTTCTGCTGGTCAATGTCATCTTCCCCACACTAACTGAAGGGGAGTCTAGATCCTTTCGGGACCAAGAGTGATTAAGATCAGCAAAGCCTTTTAAACCAAGCAAGTGGGATAAATGCAGGTGGGAGAGCTTCCCCCAGGCCTGGGCTGTGCCCACTGTGCCTTAATTGTGAACCTCCATCTCTCTCTAATGGCTGCAGACCTCTGTGCCTCACTGCCTGTCCTGAGCATGTTGGTGCCTGGGGTGAGCGGGCAGAGAGGAGCCAGGTTTTACGTAGGCTTGGTGTAAGAAAGGGATCGATCCAATGTGAGGTAGTCAGCAGGGAGCTACTTGCTCAGGCATTTCTTCTCTTTTTCTTCTCTTTTTTTTAATTCCCCAGGGTTAGTGATTTACCAGAAGTTAAAATGAATTCTCTCTCCCCTTGGGGAGCAAGACTCCCCCTAATCCTGGAGGACTGCTGGTATCATCGGTCTCTGTTTTTACAGGCAAAGCTGTCACTTTATTAGAAAAAAGGAGTCTAGAGAAATCCTGCTTGGCCTGTTCGGGGTGCTGCAGAAGAAGCAGAGGAGCTAGGAGGACGTTTTCTGCTGAGACCTGCTCAGGAGCTGGCTGAGCAGAGCCAAGCAGCTGTGGGGGCAGCTGCAGGGTCTCCACTGCACCTTTAGATGGTGACAGAGAGCTTCTGCTGCCCCAGGAGCACCTCCTGGGAGAGACTGTGGTGTAGGGCAGGTGTGCAAAGATACGTGCTTTGGGACTTTGCCTCTTACATATATGTATATATATACTAGGAAATCAGAATATTGACCAAGCAGGATAATTATTTCCTGCTGTCTATGAAAATGTTATTGTCAAGGATCAGCTGGAACTGGAAGTTACTTTTCCCTCTGGTTACAATTTTATAACCACAGACTATTGATGCTGATTGCCTGTCCAATGCAGACAGGGCCAGCCCAGGGTCACAGCATCAGAAGAGACCTTCTGCAGCGTCCTGTCTTCCCCCTGCGATGCCAGGGACCATCCCACACAACCCATTTCACGATGTGCTCAGCAGTGGTTCATTCAGGGACAAAATTGCAGAGCAGGGGACACCTGGGGGAAGCTTGCCCTGGTCCCAGGGTGTGCAGGACCGAAAGCTCCTCTGTGAGACCTGCTCCCCTGCAAGGCTGGTGCAACCGAGCTAAGCCTGGATAGACAGTAAACTCCTGTCTGAGGGCTGCTGATGAGTCTCATTATTTTAGTCAAGCCTTCTAAATACCACCCTGTGCTGCTGCTTTTATTATGCCTCTGGGTAACTTTACAACACCAAGATTTGTTCCCACAGATGGTAAATCTAGTCCTAAAAGCATCATTACTGACATTATTTTACACAAAGGAGTGGTATAACAACAGGGAATAATCTTGTCCAGTAGTAGGTATTAGAAAGAGTTTTTTAAAATGGAAAATAAATCAGACAGCACTAATCCAGCTGCAACCTGGGTTTAATATGACTGGTACAACTGGTGAGTATAATTGATCCAGTAACAGTAAAAACCTCTTGGGTTGTGAACTCTGTATCAGTTTGAAGTTCAAAGCCTGAGCTCAGAGTTACTTAACTTCTCACTAACACCTTTTCTGTTGCAGGAATAATTGAAGTGGGGTCAAAAAAAGAAAGGCAATGCACTCTATGAGTTTAACATGGATACAATAAGGGCTAAAATAAGACCAGAGCTTAGGAATGGGAACAGGGACCTCAGCTACGTAGCTTGCTAGCTTCACAAGTACTTCTTTATCTCCTTTAACACAGCCATTTTGAAACACAACGACTCTTCTTGGAATGGCTTGAATGTTTCACTCCCCCTGCGCGATGCTGCGTTGAGTGCTGGGTGGCCCGTGGGTAGAGGCACTTGGACTTGCTTAGGTGTTGTGTCGAGGAGCTCTTGTGCTTGGCTCCTTCCTGCGGCAGCGAGCATTTGGCTATGTGTTGCTGCGAGGAGCATTCCTTTATTCCCTGCCCAGGGGGGCACTTGGTTACACACTGCTGCGAGGAGTAGGTGGTGATGTACTCCTGCGTTGGGTAGCCCTTCATGCACTTTTGCTGGGGGAACCCGCTCACGTACTCCTGCAGGAAAGACTGCGCCGTGCATTGCTGCGGGGGGCACTCGGTGACTCCCCGCAGCGGCAGGGAATAGCCGCTGGTCATCCCCTGCAGGGACCGGAGCCCTGCGCCGTACCGCTGCGACGAGCATTTGGATATCTTCTGAGACCTGCATTCGTTCTTACATGAGGACGAGTATTTGATCCCACATGGTGGGAACTTGAGCTTGCCCGGCTCTGGGCACCTGGGTGCACACGGTGGGAGGCTCTTGGCCATACGCTTTTTGTCGGGGCCGCTGGTCTCACAGGTCTGGAAACTTTGCATTGTGCTCAGCTTCAGGCTGGGCTTCCTGCAGGGCAGAAGGCGAGTGGTCTCACAAGACTCGGGGTACAGCAGGACGCAGTGCTGTACATAGGGCTGACAAGACTGCAGAGGTGTCTGGGTCACATTTGGCTGTGGGCACACGTAAGTGAAAGGTTGCGTGTAGCTTTGCCATCTCGGCATCGGGCTCTTGATCACGCTCACTGGGTGGCACGTGGTACTGCACGCATCGGACTGGGGTGTGCACTGCTCGATGCTTTCGGTGATATAGGCCGATCCCGGCAGGTACAGATGTTTATACTGCTCCCCATAATAGTGCATGGTAATGATGCCTGAAAGCAGGAAAAAGACAGACAGTTCACATAGGCATAGGCTATTTTTTGTGATGCGGAACTCAGAGTTTCCTGCATCTCAACACGGCAACCCACACCCTAGCTCTCCTGAAGGTCAGAGGCTCTTGGTGACTCAAGCCCAGGCTTTGATTAACCGGGTGAGGGGAGGAGAGTCTGTTCTCAGCTTGTGCCCACACACCCTTCTCTTGAGAGCTGAGAAACAATCAGGGATTGGAGCCAGGCAAACTGGGGAGTTTTCATGCCACCCTTCAAAGACCAGCTAAGTGTCTATCAAAGCATTTCACGGAGGAGAAGTGACATTATGACCCTTGTCTTACTCCTGGAAACCTCCTGTGTCCCCACTGGGACATCCTTTCAAGTTTATGTCCTGCAACTCCCAAGCACCGGAGATGAAAGGCAAGCCAAAATTAAAGGTGTGTCCATGCTGTAATTCTCAGGTGTGGTTGCAGTTCAAGCAGACAAACCCAAGCCGAGGTTAAATTAGCTAGCTGAGAGTAAGGATAGGTTTGTGGCAGCACAGAGCTTCGCACGTACGCCTTGCCTGCCGATTCATGGACCCACAGGGGTCTGCTGGGCTGGCAGCGTGCAATTACAGGCTCTGAGCTTGCTGCTGTAGCATCAGCTTTGCTGCCTCTGCAAGCCTTGCAGTCCCAGCCTCATACTATTGTGTAGGCATCATCGAGAAAAGAGGAAATACCATAGGATTGTTTCTAAGTATTTGGTGAAACCATAGCAGGATAGGAGAAGCTATCAAGGCAAAATATCAGCTGGTGTTAATTGGTCAAGTTTCACTGAGTTGAGAGAATTGCATTCATCTAAAGCAGCCTCCAGTCTTGCACCGCAGTCATACAAAGCCATAGTGCCCTGTTTTTGTTATGGTAAGCCAAAGACTCAGTGTCAAAATGCCTGGCATAGCAGCTCTGATAGTGAAACCTCATTCTGGCAGCCCCTGCATGAGCAGCAGGAAGGGGACTCTAGCTGAGACCACGTCCCTGGGGAAGGGACCAGATGACACCTTCTGGAGGTCTACACCTTCCTCTTGAAACCACTGTGAAACGTCACTTTGCCTTGGCCCCGAGGGCCATAGGAAAAACCATCCCACTTCATTCCTCACTGCAGAAAACACCGGTTTCAGGGAGTTTTCTGAGTTTTTAACAGGAATATTTTAAGGACAACAGGTACTGGAACCACTGACATGTGAAAGGTACTCTGATCAAAAATGATTTTTTAATTTCAATAGTTTGGAGATTAAGGCATATAATTAAATGACTGTAAAGAAACTGCATTTTCTGAACACCCCTAGTTCTGTCTATAACTACTGTAAGGCATTTTATCTTCCAAAAGCCTATCACTGGGTGACTATTAGCAATAACAATGCTGTGTGTTACTATCATTAGGAAAACTTATTATCATTACAATTATAATAATAATCGACTAATAAAAACAACCCATTGAAAAACAATGACAGCAATTGCTACTGCTACATGTACAACGCTAAAGTATCTGGTGATGCTCATCAAGATAAAAAGCTTCGAAAGTAGGGAGGATTATTTGCTTCCAGGGGGTTGTTTGCATCTCAGACTTATTTTTATCACTGTTAGCCTAGATAGAAGTTTTAACATGTTCAGACTTAGCTAGAGAGTCTCTCTCTAGAGAGTCTCTCATTGGCACTGAAGCTGGTCAGCTTCTTACTGTTCTCTGAAAAGTGGCTTTGTTTAAATTCCATAAAATGGCAGCAAATTTCTCCACGCCACTTCCTTTAGAGGAGCTGCCTTTTCGCGTGCAAGCTCGTATCTGACTCCTGCCAGCATTGAGCCCTTTACGTAGTCAATAGCCTCCTTGGGACTAGAACTAACGGAAAGCGTAGAAAAGCCCACAAATCCCACTCCTGACTTCACAGTCCATCTGGAATTGCTTTCCCAATATTCTTCAGTTTAGCACAGAGGAGATGCTTCAGCCGTTAGAGCTGCGCATGCTGGTGCTGAAGGCAGCATCCCCCAGAGGATGCTTCTCTGCGAGTACACAGGCAGGACCTCTGCCTGCTCCGGCCACCCAGGAATAAAACAGCATTTCAGGAGCTCCATTAAAAGCCAGACTTACCCACTTCATCAGTGAGAACAACCGGAGAGAAGTGCCTAGAAGAGCCCCGCGATGGCAGAGCTTTTATACAGTGAATAAGTGCCCTAGGGGAGTGAGGTGGTTTGTCTGGGTGATGCTCTAATTGCCTGCCAGTCCTGGCTGAGCCACGTGCAGCTTCGTGCCGGTGGGAATGGCTGTCCTCGCTCCGCGTGGCTACCATCACCACCCGGCACTGCTGGGACATCTGGCTTACCTGTGAGGTCTGTGTAGGGGAACCTCCTGATCCAACGTCGAACCAGCGAAGGACAAGGACACTCTGCGTGGTGCTGAAGCATCCCTGCCTGCCCATTGCAAATCCAGGCCAGCTAAAACGCACCTTTCCACCCAGAAGAAGATTGCAGTTGAGACCACCGAAGGGACTCCTGATTTCCGTGGGAGCCACATGCCTAAGTCCCTTTGGTGCCTTTGAAAACACCGTCCAGGAAGGACTCTTGGCGACTTTTTGCAGACCGTAATTACTGTGGCACGCGGACTTCCTTCACTTATACAGGGAACCCAGGGAAGAGACGGATGATTGGGACTGAGAAAGCCTTGGGCTAAGGGCAAGACGGCTACTAAAATGACTTGCCATGAAGTGAATAACCTGCCGAAAGAGGTGACGCTTTTTCAGCACAACAAAGGGGAGAAGGGCTGAGCAGGAGCACTGGGGCAGCCCGGGGAAAGGCGGCTGAATCAAACCAGGTTTGTGTCCTGAAAACACAAATCACATTTTGTGCTCTGCACCAGTCATCCCTCCCTTTGTTCCCTCTTTGTGTCACAAATAAACCCAAGGGAAAATTAACAGTGGCATGAACATAAGTGCGGACAGGAAATGTATTTTTACGTAGTCATATCTGCATAAGCAAAGGCCCGGGCATTTTCTTTTTTTTTCCTTTAATGCAAATCTGACACCTCTGAATTGGGTTCCAGCATGCTGGGAATTCAGGGGAGGTCCCACACATTGAAATAAAAAGAGGTGAAATAAGTTAACTTTTAATGGAGTAGGTGGAAAATTTCTCACCAATATGGAGCACCAGGGATGCTGCTGACTTGCCATCCCTGGAGGTATTTAAAAGACATGTGGATGTGGTACTTAGCGACATGGTTTAGTGGTGGACTTGGCAGTGTTATATTTATGGCTGGACTTGATGATCTTTTGAGGGTATTTTCTAACCTAAATAATTCTAGGATTCTATGATTTGAAGCAGAATATTGATCTCTGGCTCGTGAACTGCTGCGTACGTTTTCTATTTCTGTTTTCACCAGAAAATACAGAAGCCTGAAGGTAGGTTTGTTATCTACATTTCTGATTTTCCAACAAAAATTCTCCCTCAGTATCACAGAAAATATTACAAAGTGCATATTTTTCCGGTTGATGCTAACATTTCGAGAGCTACAGAAACTGAAGGGAAGAATGGTTTCTCTAGGCTTATCTTCTTTTCTGCAACTGAAGACAAAAGCTCTGAATTCAACCCGTATTTCTCTAACTTTCATTGTGTTTCAACTACAACACCCTTTTTAATGTTAAATAATCTGACCCAAGATTTTAGGAATCAAGCTAGCGTCAGAGATCAGGTAAGCAGATTAATGCAATTTTTATAAGCTCCATAAATCCAGTTCCTGGGCAAGGTCTGGATCAAGTAGTCTTCAAGTAATGCTAATATTGAGTTTAGTGTTTCCAGTGCAGGTAGCAAAATATTAACCCGATGATAACATCGTACCCTGTCATCCAAATGTTCTTAATTAGCATCTGTAAAGTCCTTTCATCTCAGAGAGACGCACACTGCCGCATGGGACATTGTTGTGGGGGCTATTATTATTCCCAATTAAGCACAGGGGAAACCAAGGCACATTGCGCTGTGGTCACTTGGTGGCACAGTGTGAGTCAGAGCCAGGGTCAGCACCAGACTCCATCAGCAACCGCATCCAAAACAAGCTCCATGCTCCGGCAGCCGCTCCACCCCTGTGAGATGATGTCCTGTGTCACCTGGCCACCCACCACCCAGGAAGATTTTCCTAACAATCCCCTGGGCTCTGGCTCCTATGGGAAAGCCACGGTGATGTGACAGCTCCTCAGAAGGCCACACCGTTGCTCATTCCTCGGTTTTAAAATGGGTAGGAAATGTTGGGTTGTGAGGACATCCCCGGCTCTGCAAGGTGGAAGGAGGGCCACAGTCACTGCTGCTCTTGGATGCTGCATCTCCGGGCCAAAGCATCCTCACTGGACATTCAGGAGGAGGTATGAAAATGGTCTGCTCCTCCATCACACACTGTGCACCCCCAGGGAAGCAACCAGACGTCACCTTCACATTGCTTGATGCTCAGGTCTTAGACACCTCCTTGCCTTCAGAGGGCAGCCCGTGGTGGCACCCCAAGGTGACCGAGCAAGGGTGGAGCAGGGCAGGATGCGGGGCAGCGTCCCGGCCCCAGTCACACCCTCCTCGTCGTCTTGCGACACTTGTTTTTACCCTCCAAAATACGCATGATCTACTTAGCGTGAGCTACTATTCATTTTCCTAATGATAGGGCATATTACAGGATTTTTGTATTTTTCAGACAGGAGTTCACTATATTTAATAAAGAAGAACCACCAGAGGGCAAAAAGACAAGATAATTAATCTGAGGTCAGACAACTATATTTATTTAAGGAGATATATATACATATATATGTATAAGTATACATACATATATATGGTTTGTTTTCAACACAGTGCAGAGTACACATCTTCAGGCAGTATAAAGAATATAGTTAATTGCTTTTATAGCTCAAACATTTCTAAAATAGTCGTGCTACAACTTTCAGTGTTACTTCAAATCTCAAATACTTTCTTTTGTTTCAAGTGGTGTTTTCAATAATATCAAAGCAACCAAGTGAATAAAAAATGCTCGTGTATAAAATTTCAGCAAGGACCAACTTCACCCATCCAGAAATCCTGTCTTGTTCGGGGACTCTATTGGAGTCAGCGCAGAGTCAGTGTTTTAAAGCAGCAGGGATTTCTGGCCACCTTCCGAAATGAAGGCCATTGGAATAAGATTCTCATACCGTTTGCTTAGCAAATTTACATTTGTCTTCCAAATCTGTGAGTGAAAACAGCTGTTTTGGAGAGCTCGCAGCCTTGTGGAATCTACGTTAACCTGGATGTTGTCTCCTAAGGCCAGGACTAAACCCGGAGCCGGACACGGGCCCGCCCTCCGCCGGCTCCACTGCCAGTCCTCTTGATGCTGTTGTGATCTGGACTCCTTAGACATTTGGGTTTTTTTTCTTTTCTTTTTTTTTTTTTTTTTTGTTTACTTTTTAAAATTCATTTCAATTAGTTGAGAATTTAATAGCATCCCACTAAACTATGCCTTGTAGCAGATTAAGGTACAAGCCACAGGCACCTGGAGTGCAGCCATGGAAATAGTAACACACCCTGGCCCAAAATAGAGCTGAGAAGTACTGGAAAACAGAGATAAAGCAGACTTAAGCAATAGGAAATTGTCGGCAGTGGTACGAGGAGATAAATAACCCCTGCCCCAAAGCTGTACCTCCTTTTTTCCATGGACCTTCCTTTCCCCCTCTCCTTGTTACCAGGGCCATTTGGGCGCAGAGCAGTACTTTTTGGAGTGACTCGAAATTTTCACTCCATCTATGTTGCTGCGCTGCGGGACGCACTTGGTCACACACGGCTGCTGTGGGACACACTTGGTGGCACACGGCTGCTGCGGGACACATTTGGTGGCACACGGCTGCTGTGGGACACACTTGGTGGCACACTGCTGCTGCGGGATGCACTTGGTGACACACTGCTGCTGTGGGATGCATTTGGTTGCACACTCCTGCTGTGGGACACAAGCTGTTTCACACTGCTGTGGGATACAAATGGTAGCACCCTTGGTGGCACACTGCTGTGGAATACACTTGGTCACACACCTGGTCGCACATTGCTGAGGGACGTACGTGGTGGCACATGGCTGTGGGGCACAAGCGGTCACATATTGGTGCGAGACACACGTGGTTGCACGCTGCTGCGGGACGCACGTGGTGACACATCTGGTTGCAGACTGCTGCTGGGGGTTGTACGTGGTCACACACTGCTGTGGGATGCACTTGGTCGCACACTGCTGCTGTGGGATGCCCTTGGTCAGGTACGGCTGCTGTGGCACACATGTGGTCACACACCTGGTCACACACTGCTGCTGTGGGATGCACTTGGTCGCACACTGCTGCTGGGGAGCATAGGTGGTCATGCACTTGGTTGCACACTGCTGCTGCGGCACACACTTGGTCACACAAGGCTGTTGCGACACACCCTGAGTCGCACACTGCTGCTGCGGTACGCAGGTCGTCACACACCGAGTTACACATGGCTGCTGTAGGATGCGCTGGGTCACACACTGCTGCTGTGGCACACACTTGGTTGCATACTGCTGCCGTGGCATGCACTTGGTCACACACTGCTGTTGGGAGAAGCTGGAGGACATGATCCGCTGCCGGGGGACACAGGGGGTCACATACTGTGGGATGCACAGTGTCGAGTGCCAGGTAGGCAGTGGCAGGTGTCTGGCAGCGTACATTGGCGGACACTTGATGGGGATGGGGTCCTGGTAAACTGGAGGGAGGCACTGCTGCAGGTAGCACGACATCTCAGTGAGGGTTTGGCAGGACTGGAATGACACATGAGAAAACAGAGCCTTTAGACCGGCACCTGGCTGAGTTTCTCGCGGTCCTGCTGCTGTCCACGCTGCTTCACAGGGTGCCGGAGACACATCCCACCTATGCCACGGTCTCAAAAACACACTGGCAGCAGCCACCAAGGACATAACCCATCATTTTTAACTCTGAAACACGGCACTAAGTCAAACAGTGGGGAAAGTCAGAGATACGTAGCATTAAAGATCTCCCCACGCTGCAACTCTCTCCCCATCACCTGTACCTCCACAGGGGAGAACTGATGTCGGAGGTCAGCAGGGGAATGGCTGGACTCAGAACTGACTTTCACTCATTGAATCCAGTTTTCCCTTCCTGATTTTGGCTGGCGACTGCTTCTGACCTCTTGCTGATACATCAAGAAAAAAACTCGACCTAGAAACACACTCTGAACCTCTGGCCACATCTGCCATAGCAGGTGAGGCAAAGAGCATCCAAGGCACCGCTGCTTGGTGATTCCATTACACCGCAGGCAGGCAGAGGTTGACAGCTCAGTCCCAGCATCACAAAGTTCATGCTCATCAGGGAACCAAAGCCAATTAAAGGGCAGCGATACCGCAACTGAACACAAACCTGCTTACAGCTCTTCTATCATTATGTTCCCTGATACACCAAAGCTTCTCTGACTGCTGTCAGGCACCCTCAAAAGCAAACAACAATAGCAGCACCCCAATTACTGCTAACAACCTTTCCTTGTGTTTTTCAGAAGTGTCTCTTGGACTCTGATGCCCAGCTGGAGACACTGGAAGAGAGTGCACTCCCATTCCAACGCAGAAATTCAAACTGACTATTTTTAAAAAACAACAGAAAGCCCAGCACAAACCAGACTTACCCAGCTCCGTGATGAGAACAGCTTTGTGATGTGACCAGTGAGTCCTAATAGAAGAAGAGCTTTTATATAGCTACTAAACATGCCTGGAAGGTATGAGGTACCCACGACATATCCTATTGGCTCCTATGCAAAAGCTGTCCTGTGTGCAAGACTTGCAGTGACTAGCATCAGCGTACTCATCCCTGAGGATGAGTAGTTCAATGTCAGCTCCCCATAGTAAGAGTAATTACCTTTTGTATAATCCTCCCTGGCACGGTAAGACTGAATGGCATTTGGAGAGGCAGGCAGCAGTGGCATCCCCTGCCTCAAGGGTTTTGCAAGGCAGAAACGCACCCAATAACATACTGTTATAGCTTTCCAGAGGTCTCACAGACCCTGGAAATGTCCTGGTGGTCCCCAGAAATGGGGCCATCCCATCACTTGGCCTCTTTCTGCATACACGTGGCATTGGCTTCATGCCGTGAGAACTGCACTGACCCCTCCATGTGCTTGTCTAACTTTAGTCCCTGACTAGAGGTGGCAGCACCTCTCGTCTGCCCTATAATGCCCAGCAGCCGAGGTCAGCCATGTGTGCAGGCTGGACACAGGCCACTGGCTCCTCTGAGGAAAATCAGGATCTCCTAGTAAAGTTCGAATAACCCCCTTGGGTGAGTGCAGTTCATCATCCATAGAGAGCTTAATTTTTAGCTCATGTAGCTCTGGAGAGCACCTGGTTGTTGGTGTCCTGATGCTCCAGTGATCCCAACGCAATCACCTGTTATCAGAGCAATGGGAATACACCATCCAGTGACTCTCAGATGAGCGGAAAAGATGAGCTACAGTCACATTTGATTGCAGCTCTTGCACAAGCTCAGCTGTCAAAGCTGTGACCAGCAGCATGACAGGCCACAAAAAGCACCAGGAGAAGATAAACTTCCTCCAGTCCTGCAGGTGACTTTCTCAGTGAGTCAACTTCTTATCGCACACTGCATCCAGATTAAAGAAAATAGTTAGAAAACTGGGAGATTAATTTTTTTGAAGTCACTGAACATATAATCAATGCTTTCATGTGTATGTTGTCACATGAAATATCCCCCAAAAGTGACAATTTCTTCTTGCTGACTACAAGGAGAGCTGAAGGGAGACCAGTGCAGAGGAGTGCTCTGCCCCACTGGCATCTAGCACCGGCTGAGATGAAACCCAGCTCTGGAGTATGTTTATTAAAAACTGTGGTTTCTTGTGAACTAGAGAAATGGCTCTCCCCAGGTGGTTTTTTAGGTGAAGAAAAAGGTCCATAAATAATTTTGTAATGAAACTGAACAAAATTTAGGAACTCTTGGACAACTATGCCCCAGACCAGGCAAGAATCACAGAGGGTGAAATGCTCCCTTTACCGTAGGCTTCGCCAGCAAGAAGGAATCCTGACCCTTGCTGGCCAGCACTGAGTGTGTTCATCTTTGCCTGAACCACAAAAATGTGGCTTTGTTGTGGCATCTCTCCAGCAGAAATTGGTTCTTTGATCCAAAGTCATAACTCTTCATTGCTTTTCAGCTCCAAAAGTCATAGGTGTGATCCTCCCTATTAAGCAAACTGAGTAGTTCACATTTATATTATTTTTATTCTAGTCTGGATGCAGGCACTGCCCCAACCTTCAAACAAATCCTTATTTCATTCTGTACTTGACTGAAACCCCATGTGTACCTGCCTAACTTACTGAAAGCCCAGGTGAACTTTAATTATTTGATCACAGCAATAACTTGACTTTCATGTTAATACCCAGTAACATCTGTAAGACTATGTATCTAAACCCTCTTAATCAGTACACTCCAAAACTACAGATCAAAGTAGGAAAAAACCCCCCAGAAACCCAATTAAGCTCCATTTTAACTTTGGCAACATTGCAACTTTGGAGACTTTCACTATGTAACAATTTAATGAGTGTTTCACTTTCACATGACAATGCCTTTTCAAAAATGTGTGCTTCTGTTGTCATCAGCTGTGCATATCCTCGTAGTATTCACCTTCTCCGCACAAGTCAGTCCTGCCCTGCAGTGGTTGTCAGCTAAGAAAATCTCCCGTGCTTTTCTAAAATGCCTGACTCAACCTGGAAAACAGCACGAGATGAAGGTGGGAAAAGAAGTTAAAGAGAATTATGAAGAGGGAAGCTGAAAAACATCCTGGAGGAGGCGCCAGGTGAGACATTAGGGAATCCACCACCCTTTAATAAATCAGGAATGCAAAAGAGTACCTTCACAGTGCAGCAATTTTGGAGTATGAGCCAATGCACCAGGAATGCAAAGCTCCCTGCTGGCTCCAAATATAGAAATTTGGCAGAAGAACAAGCCAGTCAAAGAACAAAATAGAAGAAACAAGGTAAATTGTCTAGGTGTGATCTGGGATATCGAGTTGAAATCTCAAGTGATGTAAAATTAGCCTTGCTCTGCTAACAGTAACAAAAAAATACCAATAAACCAGGCAAAGAGCTGTAAAGCAGGACGGACCTACAGTGGGGAGCTGTTAAGCATTAAAACTAGTGCATAGTGAAGGACACTACATGTGACAGGTTACAACAGCAAAGTCAAGGAAGAGACTCCTCCCTTGAAGAAACAGATCCACTTTGAGGAAGTACCTGCATGGGTCTGGGAGGCCATTTCCTCCAGTCTCTCCAAGACACAGACATTTCCTTTAGCCTTGCCAAGGCATTGCCACGTCCTCCAACCTTGCCAAGGCATGGTCATTTCCTCCAGTCTCTCCCAGGCATGACCATTTTCTCCAGCCTCACCAAGGCACTGACATTTCCTCCAGCCTCACCAAGGCATGGCCATTTCCTCTGATCGTTTCCTCAGCCTTGCCAAGACATGGCCATTTCCTCCAACCTCACCAGAGCGTGGACATTTCCTTCAGTCTTACCAAGGAATGGCCTTTTCCTCCAGCCTCATAAAGGCATGGCTGTGTTGTCCAGCCTCACCAAGGCATGGACATTTCCTCCAGCCTTGCCAAGACATGAAGTTGTCCTCCAAACTCACACGGCATGGTGTTGTGGTTTAATCCAGCCAGCAGATAAAAAACCAATCACACAGCCCTTTGCTCACTCCCTCCGCAGTGGGATAGGGAAGAGAATCAAAAAGAAAAAAAGGGTAAAACTCACGGGTTGAGATAAAGATAGTTTAATATGACAGAAAAGGAAGATGATGATGATAATAATAATATACAAAGCAAGTGATGCACAGCACAATTTCTCACCAGCTGAAGCTGATGCTCAGCTAGTTCCTGAGCTACCCCGCCTCCTGGCAAACCCCCAGTTATATATGGAGCATGTCGTCATATGGTGTGCAATATCCTTTTGCCCAGTTTGTGTCAGCAGTCCTGGTTGTGTCCCCTCCCGGCTTCTTGGCATCCCCACCTTCTTGTTGGCAGGCCAGTATGAGAAGCTGAAAAGTCCTTAACTGCTTAGCAACAACTAAAACATCAGTGTGTTATCAATGTTATTCTCATTCTAAATCCAAAACACAGCACTGTATTAGCTTCTAGGAAGGAAATTAACTCTATCTCAGTTGAAACCAGGACAGATGGACGTTTCCTCGAAGCTGTGCAAACCACTAGAGTGCAGCAGTAACACACACAACCACCTCCTGCAACAGCCTTGCAGAACCAGATACTGGTAGCTGAAAAACTGCCTTCAGATGCACTTTCTCTCCAGGAAAATAGTTTAAGCTGGCAGCCTGTAAACTAGACCCAGCCCAATGCCTTTGTGTCACAGGACTCTAATATCTGAATGCTCCTTATTCTACCAGGGCACTGACATGAAGTTAAAGCTGAGTTGCCAATGCTCCCTGAAGCCCAACCACAGCCTCCTGCTCCCACTGCTGTAAAAACCAGAGTGCCTTGTTCCAATTGCTCACATGTACATGTGCTTCTGGGCACTCAGAACACAGGCTGAAACGGTAGCTGGGCTGCACGTCGTGCTCTTCACAGGAGAGTGAGGCTGTTCAGTTGATCACTGCAGGGCAGTAAGGTGCATGCAGGGAGGGGAGGGCAGAGAACGAATGAAACAAGCAGAGATCGCACTTTTATTGTATCAGACTTGTCATTAGAAAGCAGCATACAGGCTGTAGATAATAGAAC